TTTTTTTTTTTTTTTTTTTTAACTAAAGCCATATAAATTTCTATTATTTTTTAAATGTTCAGCTTAATGGGTTATGTTTACTTAGTCAATAAGCTGATGATGCCCATGACAGGACCAGAAGTGTTTGGCTAGCAGCAGGGAGAAAAAAAAAATCAATAACTCCAAGCATTTGGCAGCTTTGTGGGCAGGAAATAATTTGTATTCTCTGGTTTAAATCAATGACCTTCTTTTCTTTGCTGTTCCAACAGGAAATTATAAACTCTGTGAACACTATTTGCATAGTGCCTTCTGCAATACACTTGTATATGCCTGGGAAAAACACTATGTTAACCCTAGCACTGCTCCTCTGAGTTCCCTGTTAAAGAAATCCAGGTACTTAAGCACACAGCTTTTCAACAGGCACTTGTATTCATTAGAAGCAAAAATAGTCTAGAGAAAAATGTATAAAGAGCTCCTCCTCCACTTCCAACAGGACCACCCTGTTTGATAACAGTGTTGTCTACTGTTAGTAGCATGAAAAAATGCCTTCTTTGGCATTTTTGGCAATTTTAACTTGGCAAGATTTTGTGTTCTCAGACAGCAACTTGCTACTTCTACATTAAACCTGCATTTGCACCGCTGTATCTTGCTTGTCAGGGTTACCTTAAAGTGCCAGGTATTATCTGAAAGTACTGCATTTTTGCTTAAATTCAGCATTACAGAGTTACTGGTTTTGAAAGTTTCAGCCTCCTCGGTGCTGTCCTTTTGCAATGTTCACATAAGGAAGAAAAAGAAATAGCTCCCTTGTCTTGCCATGCTCATGGGAAGCTGTATCAGGAAGGTAGTGATCCAAGAAAAGGATCCAGTGTTTAACCTGGCACTGAACTTGCCCTCCAACCTTTTCAACTGCCCTACCCTGCATTAAGTCCAGTTTGGATATTATTTTAACATGTAGGAGAGCTGGCATTCAAGAAGACAAGCCAGTCACAGGAGATGGAGGAGGTGTGTGACCCTTTTTACTGAGTGAACAGTGTGTGAATTCTTGCCTAGGTGCCTAGGGCCAGAGCTAAGTGTTGCAGCACCAGCAACTGGCACTACATAGCTCCTGGACTTAAGCACCCCTTGATGTGCTTAACTTCATCCTGTGCAGGAGAATGATATGGTAAATCAGTCTGGAGAACGTGATTATAGTCCCAGAAACTACCAAGGTCTCAGTTGTCTGCACTGAAATGAAATGCCATAAAATTCAGGCATCCAGATTTCTCTGCTTTGCAAGTCCTTTCACAGCTGTTCTCAGCATTCCTCCTGTGCTCCCAAAGCCCCTGGCACAAAGTTGCAGTCATCAGATGACACTTGATGTATACTTATTAGTTATATCACAATTCCCTCTCTGAAACAAAAAGGATGGGAATGTTTCTCAGAGTGACTGAAGTGGAAGTAATACGCAATTCTTGCTCTCCTGCTTTGTTTCTATTAATTTGCCAGATGTAAAGTTGCCTTATCCTGACCCTACATGCATTCCACCCCTTCCCACTGCAAATTCTACATGCTTACTGGGGTCTCTTCCAGATCACCTGGCTGCTGGAGTGCCTTTGCATTTCTGAAATTTGCTGCTCCTGACTGAAGGGAGCCAACCAAGAAAATGAACTGCCTCCCTTTCTCCCTGACAAGAGACCAAAGCAGCATCACAGTTTCACAGCAGACTAAGGTCAGAGGGGATCTCTGGAGGTCACTTTGTCCAGTATCCCTGCTCAAACGTGGTTGCCTACAAATGGTTGCCTAAGATGATGTCCAGACAACTTTTGAGTATCTCCAAGGATGGACACTCCACAACCTCTCTGGGCTACCTGTGCCAGCTCTTTGTCAACCTCCCAGTGAAAAGCCATTTCCTGATGTTCAGACTGCATGTCCTGTGTTTCAGCTTGTGCCCATCAACTCTGGCCCATCCCTGGGCATTGCTGGACAGAACCTGGCTCCATCTTCTTCACATATTGACATACACTGATGAGATCATGCTTGCACCTCCTCTACTCTAAATAGATCCAGAAAGCAGAGGGACAAATCAGGGAATAAATTGGGTAGGTATTGTTCAATTTACTTTCCTCTATTGAGATGGTTATAAGCAAATGTTCCTTTCTCTTCCTGTTGTTTTCCCACTTTCCTTGTTTTCCTCATGCCTACATATTCTAAATGTCATGCTGTCACCTTTTTCCATTTAATACCATGTACCTGGAATCTTTTTATATCACAAGAAATGTTTAATCTGGAAAGGCATGCAAATAGAATAGTGCATGTGAGAAATATGAACTGGTTTGGTTAGTTTTAGGCTTTGGACTGATTTATGACTGATTTATGACTGATTTATGCTTCCATGTGAATAAAACATAATCAGAAACTGTGGAGTGATACTACTCTATATACAAAGAGGAGAACTGCTCCTGTTAGTCATGGAAACATATAGGCCATAATTTTTAGAGGTTGTGAAAGGTGTGCTAAGTGACTAGTTCATTTCACTAATATCTGACAAGCAAGTCACTTTCATAATGGGAAAAATTACCTTCCTAGATAATTTGGTTTTTAACAACTTATCATATTATTATTCTCCTAAGGGTGCATATTTTCCATTATGTAAAAACTAGCTTGGAATAAAAATGCTGATAGACTAAAAACCTGCATTTAGCTTTAAAACAGAAGTTTGTGGGTTGTTGATTTTTTAGTATGTGTAAACTATGGTCCTTGATATTTTTGCTCAGAAGATAACCACATGTTTCATGTGGCTTCTGTTTACAAAAAGGAAAATAAACTAGATTACACTGCAGGAAAAGGAGAGTTGATGTTTCAATGTTCAAGAGAGCTCAGATGGAAATTCAGCTCCATAACCCTTTACTGAATTTTGGACATAGATTTTTCAGTTGTCTCTGTTCTTAAATATACTCTTGTATTCCTACTGAATTGAATGGGATTTTCTATAGAAGTAAAAAGGAAGATTTTCTCTCTTTTGAGTTAAAACCAGGTAATGACTTTGATGACTTCAGCAGAATAATTCTTTATTTATACCACTATAAGCAGGGGTAAAGTCAGATTAGGAATGTACCTCAAAGTGACAGTATTCAGAAGCATATTTAATCTTTGCTAAATGAAGCATTTGCAATAAAATGCACTATTCACCACTCTTACTGTTCTCCTGGTAAATGCATTGTGAAACTGTTTGTGGTAGCTTTCTCTAACCTTTTTAAATTTAGTAATGAGGACCCACAGTATCCAAAAATGTTATTCTCCTCATGTGATGCCTCTTTAGTGTAAACCCAGTCCTATCTCCAAAATGGCAGAATTAGCTGATAGACCTAAAATTTACCACTTTGGCTCCTCTACCTGAGTGTGGCACAGATGAGGAGCAATACTTCCTTTGCTGTCCTGGATATCTGGATCCATTAGACACACCCTCAAGTGTCTTATTTGTTTTTTTCCACTGGCCATTCCTTTCTAACAGGCCATTCTCCTCCACCCAAGACAAGCAGCTAGGGGAGCGAATGGTTGAAAAGTCTTGGAAGTTCCTATAAGCATGGGATTTTCCCCTGGGCATGTTTTGTCTGGGTTGCTTTATGATGCAGAGGTTTTACTGGAAGAAAGAACTGGCCCTACAAGGTCTGGATACTTTGCTGAGAGATGAATACTGGTTAGCATACATAATTTCCAGTGCTGGTGGGGAAAGTAAGAAGAAATCAGCCAGTCATTTTGAGCTTATGCAACAAACTGCATACCTCTGACTGTGTTTTTTTCCAGAATCTGCTTGTTAACTATGATCAGTATATGCCATTTGTGCTTTAGGGGACTAAGAGTCTAAACCAGTTTATTGGTGACAGCAACAACTTTCTCATTAAATGTTAATGGCAATATTTTGATTAGTCCCAGGTTCTGGGAGGAAGTTAAGTCTTTTCTTCAATAACCAGCAGTTACAAATGCAGCAAGTGTTAATAACCTCATAGGAAGCAAACTAGGTAGGCACACATTCCATCACCCAGAAAATGGATCTCATGTAGCTTTCTGAGGGATGGTTCACATTTTAAACCAAAAAAAGTGTTTGATATTTAATATGGAGATCTGGGCTGTTTGCAGCACCCAAAGCTGCAGTCCCATGATGCTGTTTCCTATTTCTCTCAGATCTAATGTTTAAGGTGCTCCATGCCATACAATGTAAGCTTAAAATGTCATCTGGTTGAGGAGTGGAGAGGTGAAGATATTCACTCAGGAACAGCAACTATTCTCAAACTTTCAGCAACTGTGCTCAAATGTCAAAAGAATAAACATAAGAAATCATGAGAGATTTAAATAGCTTCATATCTGACATGAGCTTTTAAAGCCCCAAATGGACTTTTATAGGGAAACAAAGAGTATGTATGTGGGTTATGTGAGAATGGAAAAGGGCTTCACATGCAAATGAGGCATGAGAGTTTTATCAAGTGTTGGCCTAAAGGCTAACTAAAGCATGGATTTCATCTCTGTGCCAAATGAGAGCAGCCAGCTGCTGTTTCTCCTACCCCATCACTGCTGCTGTCAAGTCTTAGCTGGGGGAAACTCTGTTAAGTTGAGCCCCACAAATGACAAGGAAAACCCAAATTGAGGCTTTTGAATGGGTTCTCTACAATGATACAGTAACCTTAAGAGATACTTCATAGATACTATACCCCACTTGAAGATATGGGTTTGGGTTTGGTTTTTTTTAAAGGTTAGTTTTGAAAGGTCTCTTTAGCTATATAGTAACCTTTCTGGAGACTGTGTCTTCAGGTATAGCAGTTGTTACCGGGATACTCAAATTTTTTACCTGAGTAAAAAAAAAAAAAAAATAAGGTAGACCGAATAAGACCACTTGTTCTCATTAAGTAACTGGTCAGTTTAGATGTCTGCTGTACTTTGCTTTTTAGGAAATAAATTACAGCTGCACAAAGAAATCTAGAACCTTTGTCATGGCCAAGAAGCATGTCTGTTTTTTGCACTGGGCAAAGCTTTTCTTTTCCAGTAGATCTACTGCAGTTTGCCAGCCTCAGCATTGCTGTAACTCAGGAAACTTTTGACATGCAGCCCAACTTCAGCACAGCACTAGAGAGTACTAACAATACATCATTTACTGTAGTTTTAGCACAACAGGGAGAGATCTGGCAATATTAGTGACCTCTGCACATCATTGTGCTTTAGTGATTTTTTTCCTCTGGCTTCATTTCAAACAGTTGTATGATAGGCTGATAACCATATTTTAAACTCAGTCATGCTTGATGCAGTCTTGACTTACTCTGTTTGGATTGAAGGTCAGTATCTATGGCTTGATTTTCAGGCAGTGGAGGAAGCAGGTAGTGCTACTTGTCCTGTAAAACACTCAGCATTAACAACAGGCCTTTTGGTGCCACTCCTCTAAAACTGTGGCTCAAGATTGCTATCACTCAGCATCAAACTGGCTAGAAAGGCCTCCTGATGGCTCTTATCCGGACTCCACCTAAAAGAAAAGAGAAAATGCAGGAGTGGGTACATATCAGAGACAGGGGAAGAATATTCAAACATTCCTAAGGATTCAACATGGTCACTCAACCTCCCATTCCAAGACATCTAGCACTGTCAGTCCTACTGCCTTAGTTTTCCTTATAACCTGTTTATAGTAAAGGGAGAAGTTGGTACATGATATTTTGACAAGACAGTAGTGCCATCAAAAACATTAAGGATCTCCTGCAGTCTTCTCAAGCATTATTCACAAAACCTTATGAAAATAACCACACAGTCTTTTGCATGAAACCATGCTTGCTGGCTTCCTGAATGGTGATAACAGTATTTGTAAAGAGCAGGTAACAGACCGTGTATGTCAGCCCTATAACTAAATATAATTTTCATAATAGACATTCTTCCTATAGAGTTCTTCCTCTGTTTGTAATGATGAATAAATCCACAACAGTCCATGAGCTAGGATTTCTTGTTTGACAGTTTATCCAACTTTTATGAATTAACCTATCTGAAAATGGCACTTCTAATGACGATTTGTCTATATCAGTCTTTGCACATGCAGTATTTTATTCTGTAATTACCAGGAGGAAAAGAATAGAGGAACCAGTAATTTTTAAAGTTTCAGTCTGCAATCAAGACCTTAAAATTTGTAAGCTGTGTAAGCAGTGGAATAAGAACACCTCCAGATCTGGGCCTTCTGGAGTCTCCAAGGCTGACAAAGAGCATAGTTCCATACAGCCCTTCCCCTGCAGAGAAGATCTAGATGTTCTCCAATATGCAGCCACATGCTGCCACAAAATTCTAAATTTTCATTATCTCAAAGACCCTGTGGGTCTCTGTCAGGTCTGTTATAACAGAGAGGGAGGTTCCCAAATTTTATGTATACAGATGTGAATACACGCAAAACACGTGAGTTTAGAAGAGTCATTTATGCAGGAAACCACGCTGAAATATGAGCAAGTCAGTCAATAAAAAGACAATTCTCAAGACAGCAGTTAAAAGATTGATAAACATTGGAAAAAGTCTTTGAATGGGACTGAGCACTTGCTACAGAAACTGTGTACCGTGGCATCTCATCAGCATCCTCTTGAGTACTGCCAGCCTGCATGGGTTAATCTTAGAGTATCACCAAGAACAGCCTCAGCAGAAATGAGGCTTTCATTCAGTGGTCACTCCGCCTTAATTAAAAGGCCACTTTTCAATTAAACTTCAATGACATCTTCTGAAAAGAAGTTTTACACCTACTATATTTCTTTTGGACAAAACAGTCTGCTCAGCTGTATTCCCAGCTGTACACTCTGTTTCTTCCAGTTTGCTGGCATCCACAGTTATTTAGAAAGAAACTTTGTTATGTCAACTGCTAGGATTTTCTACAGTACATATTACATCACCTTCCCTGAGAAACTTGTTTGAGCAGATCCCTTTCCTTACTTTCTTGTTTCATAATGTCCTTCACATTCCTCTTTCAATATTTGTTGTTCTCTCTGTGGAAGCTCAGTTGCTGGCATTTTAAGGAAAGGTTACATAGCAAAAAGGTCACTAACAGGGTTTTTTTCCTCCCTGCCTCACACTCCTGGAGAGAAGCTCTCTGTGCGTGACACCTTTAGAGAAACGTTTAGAGAAAGTTTTCTTTAAGAAAAACCTACAGTGTTCACTGCCAGTTTCAGAACAAGAAAATAAATTTGGAGCATAAATTACCTTGGCCATTTTAATTCTACAAGTGAAGAAATAAGGAGAAGAAAGAGCAAGAGACAAAACCAAATTAAGCTGTGCTGCAAGTAAAAAGCGAGATCCCAAAATTTCATCCTCATCCCTGATACTTAGGTGACTGTGCCTCTGATAAATTTCTTCTTGTGCCTCTGTTTATTTCTTGGTGCCTCTGTTTATGAGTCTTGGTCCTTATGAAACAGCCTTGGAAAACAACAGTCATATGTCTTTCAAAATGTCCCCTACATAAAGATGTACCAATTGAAGTTTGGTCTGGAGACAGCTGAAGGTGTTGGGAGCCTTCAATTCTGGTCCAAAGCCTTCCAAAGTAGGCAAGGTAAGAACGAAGTGTGTTAAGTCTGGGGACAGGATTTGGAATAAGCTGGGAATGAAGCATAGGAAAAAAGAAAAGATAGACAGTTCTAAACTTAGGTGTATAAATGTGGGTGGCTTAATGCTCACTAGTGGGAAAACATGCACACACACACGTGTGAGCTGGCAGAGGAGCTGGCTGTTTGCTGTTTATTGATGCAGGTTCTTGTACAGTCCCTCCTTACAGCACGGGGTAGAGCTTGGTGTAGAGCTTCAGCTCAAAAACATCGTAAGGATGCTTATTTTGGTTACTGCTAAATGGCTGAACATGAAGTTGGGAAGTATCTTTTATCCAAACGCAGATCATTCTTCTAAAAACAGTGGCTCCCACATGATCTTCTTGAATAGTCTGAGTTTTCTATATAAACAATGGAGAAGGAAATCTAATTTCTACTCTAGGAAAGGAAACACAGCTAAGTGAACACTGTTAGCAAGGGCAAGCATATTATCTCTGCCTGTTTGAGAACCCACTGAGCTGAACAATATCTTTTCATCAGCTGCAGTAGTCTTTATTACACTCCATCTGAATCATCTGTTTAGGATTAAACATTTCTTGAAAGACACACTGCTTTTAATACCAAAGCATTTTCCATTCCATTTGCTTCATTTTAGCAAAAATGCTGAATGATCTGAATGATCTGTTTCATGTTTAACATGAAGTGTAACTGAAGCACTCTGCATCCTGCAGAAGTGCTTTGTGGACTTGAATTTTTTAACAGATCTCTGAAAAATCAAGATTAAAAAACACAAGCAAGCTATTTTGAACAAGCAGACATAAATTTAGTACAAATAAGCCCTCATCTTTACTGGAAAACCTTTAAAGAGGTCATAAAGACAAACAAACAAAACAAATCAAAACCACTGTGCTTCAACAGCAAAATCATCTAAAATTTAGCTTAATCCTTTTAGGATCAGTAGTCTGGACAGATAACTAAAGCAATGGATAATAAAAATAGCCAAGCACTGGTATCCAGTTAATGTATCAGCATACTGATAATGGTATATAAACAATGCTAAAAGAACAGGAAAATTATTAAAGCAGAAGACAATACTTCATTTACTGTTCTGCTGGAATTCTTGCTTAGGAAGTCACTAATGCACATTCATTATAAATACTAGAAGTGAGTTCAGGCAGGAACTTGCCTGTTACCCAAATGAGTATGACTAGTGCTGAATGAGTCTTTTACTAATCTTTTTTAGAGCCTGAACTTCACATCTAGAAAGGCAAGATTATTTGTGAGGTTCCATTCTTACAGTTAAACACAGAATCAGACACATGGAGTTCTTCCAAGAGATCTTTGGGTTTTGGTTTCTTCTGAGCAAAAAGAATATCAGAGTAACAAAGCCCAAAGAACCTGTTTTCAACTTGGTTAGCCAACCTACCAGCTGTATGTTGGTATTTTATTCTCTTTTCTGGAAGAAAGAAAAGAAGAGGGGAAAAAAAACTAACCAAAGGAAACTAGTCCAGAGCAGTATTCTGTTCTTGTTCCAGTTGATCTGTTCAGGATTTTGTCACTGGCATTTGCTAGACCAGGAAAGACTTCTGGGTATGAAAAACAGCACACCTCCCATGGTACAGCAGGACCTCAATGCCCCTTTCTACAGAAATCACTCACAAGACTACAAGTGCTTTCCCACTCTTCCTGTCATAGGAGTCTCAGGTGAAGAGACAGCTGCATCATGCCAACCTATTGGGAAACATTAGACATGAGGTGTGTCTTCCAAAAGGTCTGAATCAGGATTGCAATGCCCAGATCAGATGCCTAAATTAGGGAGGTAGTCTCTATCCAGACTAGCCTTTCCCCTTCTTGAAATGCTGAAGTTACTAATTTTCCCAACTTGCCTTTTCAGTTGCTATGGATTTCTGTTAGAAAGTGGTGATACAGCAACTTCGTTTTAACAGCACCAAAAAATGCTGCAATGATGGATTCTGCTAATGGTACTAAGGAGCACTTCTGTCACATACAGAAGTTCTGTGTAGGATGGGCTTCTGTCACAGGTAAATCCAGCTGGCTTAGCAACCAACTGGAAGCTATCGCTTCTACAGAGAAAAGGCAGACTCATGACAAACCAATGGATGTGACATAGGAAGGGAACTTCTCCTTCCATTTTTACACCTTCCTCCCATCATATTTTATTCCTTGTCCTCCCACTCTATTGCAAAAATCCAAAAATTGTCAAGTTATAGCTACACACCATGCCAAAGACTTGTCTGTTCTCTCTCTCTGCATGAGTTAATAATTCCCAGCAAGCTTTCTGGGGTGATAAGTCAGTAACACAAAGAAATGACAGATTAGATTTGATATTTATTTTTCTCTACTTTTTTAAAGCACAGCTGTCACCCACACCTGAAAGAATGGAGGAAGGGGTAATCAAATGCTCTGTAGCTGGAAGCTCTAAGGATAACACCTACAAACTCTGCAACTTTCCATAAAAGGCTTGCAGTTTTTGTATTTTTTTTTTTTTTTCTGTATGTTTACTCAGCAACACTGTTTTAGAAGTTGCAACATTCATCTTTAAACATTAATTACCAAGGCATGATTGCTTCAAAAATCCACTGCCCCAGGCCAGGGCCTAGGAAGTGGAAAATGTAATTTCAGAAAGCGATGAGAATAAATGCTGAGCCTTTTAATTGCAGGTTGGTACAAATGACTAATAGTAAAGCAAAGCTCATTTTGGATGAATTTGTTGTTCTGCACATCATATTCAAAACCTAGCAGTGAGTTGCCCGGGGGTTGGTCCTTCCCCCCAATCCCCTTGGAAAAAGCAAACAAAAAAAGAAATTTTTGAGAGGTAGAGGAAGTACTTTTCTAAAAATACAGTAAAAAGTTATTTACAAGACAGAAAGAGAGAGAGGAAGAAAGCAAGGAAGAAAGAAAAGCAGGGAGAAAGACTAAATGATACATGCAAAGTCAAGCAATA